TTCTCTTTTCTATACCAAATAAGCCCAGTTCTGTCAGCCTGTCCTCATAAGTCATGTCCCTCAGCTCCCAAAACCATTTTTGTTGCCCTCGGCTGGACTCTCTCCAATTTGTCCACATTCTTTCTGTAGTGGGGGACCCAAAACTGAACACAGAACTCCAGATGTGGTCTCACCAGTGCTGGATAGAGGGGAATAATCACTTCCCTTAACCTGTTGGCAAGACACTTACCAATGTAGCCCAATATGCCATTAGTCTTCTTTGCAACAAGGGCACACTGCTGGCTCATATTCAACTTATTCTCCACTGTAACCCCCAGGTCCTTTTCTGCAGAGCTGCTGCCCAGCCAGTCGGCCTCCAGCCTGTATTGGTGCATGGGATTGGTCTGTCCCAAGGGCAGGACTTTGCACTTGTTCTTGTTGAACCTCATGAGATTTCTTTTGGCCCAATCCTCAAATTTGTCTAGGTCACTCTGAATCCTAGCTCTAGTATTTACTACTCCTCCCAGCTTGGTGTCATCTGAAGATTTGCTGAGGGTGCACTCTATCCCATCTTCCAGGTCGTTGATGAAGATATTGAACAAAACTACCTCCAGGACTTACCCCAGGGGCACTCCACTTGATACCACCTGTCAACTAGACATTGAGCCGTTGATTACTACCCTCTGAACCTGATGCTCCAGCCAGTTTTCTATCCACTGTACAGTCCATTCATCCAGCTCATACTTCCTTAGCTTGCCTGTGAGACTGTTTGGGAGACTGTACCAAAAGCCTTGCTAAAAGCCAAGGTATAGCACATTCACTGGCCTCCCCATGTCCAAAGAGCCAGTCATTTCATCATAGAAGGCAATCAGGTTGGTCAGGCATGACTTGCCCTTGGTGAATCCATGCTGACCGCTCCTAATCACCTTCTCCTCCAAGTGCTTAGAAACGGATTCCTTGAGCACCTGCTCCAGGATTTTTCCAGGGACTGAGGTGAGGCTGACTGGTCTATAGATCCCTGGATCTTCCTTTTCCCCCTTCTTAAATATAGGCACTATGTTTGCCCTTTTCCAGTCATCTGGGACCTCTCCTGAGTCCTCTCATGAGTTTTCAAATATGATGGCTAGTGGTTATGCAATCACATCAGCCAACTCCCTTAGCACCCTTGGGTGCATCCCATCCAACCCATGGACTTGTATATGTACAGCTTTTCTAAATAGCCCCTAACCTGTTCTTTGACCACTGTTGGATGCTCACCTCCTCCCCAAATTGTGCTGCCTGGTGCAGTAGTCTGGGAGCTGACCTTGCCTGCAAAGACTAAAAAGGTATTGACCACTTCAGTCTTTTCTGCATCCTCTGTCACAAGGTTGCCTCCCTGATTCAGCAAGGGACTAGAGCTGTGCAAAGCTTCGGGTGGTGATTTGATTTGGAGGAGATTTGGCCTGATTCTGTAGCTGAATCTCCGAATCGAAGCAGGGGACCAATTTAAAGGTCCGAATCGATTTGAAGATCTCTGAATCTTCAGAAAAGATTAAACTTAGGGTCCTTACTCTGCTGCTCTCCATCCTTCCTTTCCTCAGGATCTTGAGCTCCAGAGGTGCAGGGGAGGGGAAGGAACCTGATATGACATGAAAAAGTCTCCTGTTCTTCTTCCTTTAGCAGGGAAACTTCACATCCTAATGCAAGGAAGAGAGAAGGCTTTTCTTGCCTCCTTGACTGCTATGGTCCGCTCTCTTGTCGGACTCCAGGGGAACCAGTGAGAAGCTTGATTCCAGGCAGGAGAGATGCTACCACTCACCTAGTCCAATCTAGACAGGCAGTCGTTGAAGCAAGTTCTGCCTAGTCTTGAGAGCTGTGGGACACCAGCCAGGCTGCCATGTTGACCTGGCCCAGTTCAAGACAGAGGCTGGGTCTTATTTAGTCTTCTGAGGCTGAACAAGGCCAGCCATGATCCCTGGAGGCCTGGGTAGGCAGCCAAGGCTCCCATGAGCCACTCCAGAGCAGCAGGGCTGAGACGCACCCAACCCAGTGCGGACGCTTGCAGTAAGATTCACCATAGCTGGTGGAACCACAACTGGTGTTTATTTGGCCTTATAATAACTTCCCCTCTCGCACACACACACAGATGCACGCAAACTCACACGCACACACATGCTCCCCTCTTTTGGTAGGTTTGCCTGCCTCTTTTTTGGAAACTATTACCAGGATTTGGTTAGAGGTTGTTCTGGAGGGCAGGGCTCCAGCCACTGTCTTGTGCAGTTCTTACTGTCCCAGGTGCCTGGGTCACCCCTCTGCACCTGTGTCCTGCCCTGGCAGCCTCCTTTCTCTCATATGAAGGCACAGCAGCTGGACTTCTTCTTTTGTGACTCTATGTAGTCATGAATCTGAAACCTGGGCTCATCCGGCTGCTGCACTGCTCGTTCCTTGAGCTCTCTGAAAGAAACACACCTGCCATTAGCAAAGCCGCTGCATCCCTCTGTCTCCAAAGGAAGGAAGGGGTAGGGATTGCTTTCTATCATCTCTGTGTAACCTCCATCCCCCATGTAACATGAAGCAGTGCCAAGGCAATTCACAGCCCTAAGGCTGGACTGTCACAAATTAACTCTAGGCTGGAACGTGTCATCCTGGCCTGGGAGCAGAGCAAAGGCGGCCAGGAACCAACTGGAGTCAGCAGAACGATGCTGATTCCCACCTGGGCTAAGAGCTCTCGGGGATCTTGCTGCCTTCTCATCTCACTCTATAGGGACAAATCTTAGTGTGAGACTTTGCCCACAGGAACCACAGTACCAGAGCAAAGCAGTTGCCCACACAGACCTCCTGACCTCAGCTAATGGCAAATGCTTCAAAGGAAAGTGTAGAACCTAGTTATGGGCCTGCCTTGACGAATCACCCTATTTGCCTGTGCCCTCAAATAAGACACGCACCTTGTTTTGGGAAGGCAGAAGAAAAAGAGATTTTTTTTCAGAGTCTCCCCTGCCCTAGCACTGGTCCACCCAGGGCTGCACGAAGCGCAGGCAGAGTCCAGTCATCAGCATCGCTCCATCTCCCTGCTGCTTGGTCAATTCAGCAGCAGCTGTGGGAGGGTTAAACCCATAGCTGACAAAACAGCAGGGACTTTGCCTCTGCTCCTTGCAACTGGGCAAAATACCATGAAACAGCTTAGTTCAAGCACAGCTCCCTGCCACTATTTCAGCTTCCCCCTGTCTTCATTCCAACATGCAAATCCATTTTTTTTGCATTGGACATGCACCCCAATTCTGGATGGCTGATTTTGGGGGGAAAAGGTGCATACATGTGGTATGTCAATAAATACTGTAACTTTAAACCACTTCTCTGAAACTGGGAAATACTGCAAACACAGGCCGTTAAGCATCTTGGCTGTGATGACATAGCAAGTTTATAAGACAGGGTCTCTGAACCACCAAGTTCCCTCTTCTAACCACTGACTGACACTTCCTCTTTCAAGATGTGGCCTTTCTAATCCCCTAGGAGCATGGGTTGCTATCTCAGTGCTTACGCGCTAAAGTGCTGCCCCTTAATACAAGAAGGCGGTTGTGAGATTGGAAGCCACTCTCTGAGAACTGCAGCTACTCACTTGGCAATGGCCAGAAAGGCCAGCTCCACGTTCATGCCGGTCTTGGCACTGGTCTCCATGAAAGGCACTCCATACTCCTGCAAAGAGGACATGGCATCATGAGCAGCTGGACTGGACTGCCTGGTACTGCTACCACCAACACTCCTACAGCTCCCTTTCTCCTCTGAAACACCCTTTGCCAAACAGGCCAGGAAGAACCTGGCAACCTCCAAGGATAGTAGAGCAGGTTCCTTAGACATGGAACATAATGGAGGGCCTGCCCAGCCTCCTGTGATGGAACAGTGAAAGAGAGGTATAAGCAAGAAGGGGCAGCACTATGCACAGCTGACTTGGAAGAGCCAGCATTGGAGAAGGTGGGGAGCAGGGAAGAGACCCCTTAGAGGTGTGGGAGGAGACAGGTGTCTGGGGTGAGGATGGAAGGTCCCATCTTGAGAGCTGCAGAGCAGGCAGCTCACACCTTGGTGGCACCTTTTTTAACCTTAGCCCAGATACTCTCTGACTACTCTCTTGCTCTTTCTGACTTCAGCAGGCCCAGAGCTGAGCCTCCTGCCACTCCACAAGTGCAGTTCTCATTTTTCAGTACGCTCCAACCTTATTCCCCCAGCTCCCAGCCCTCCCTCCACCCATTTACATTCTCCTTAGTCTCCAAAATCCACCCGGAGGCCCCATCTCATAGCCCACATCCTCCCTGCCCTGCCCTTCCACCCTCCGCGTTCACATCTGATGTTTCTCTCCCCTCCAGTCCAGACAACTCGTACAGAATGGTTAAGGCTGCAAACAAGGTACTTGTAGCTGGGCTGACTGATGTGATCAGTGTCTCATTGAAGCAGTCCTGTGAGCCCAGGCTGTGCCATTTTTAAATCCCTTAGTTGAGGTCTATTCAGTACAGGACAGGAGCTTGCAGCCAATATGGAAATGAGGATATCAAAGGCAGAGAGCAGATACCTTCTGCAAGGAAAGAGCCCACAACCCCCAAAGCGAGGCTCACCCTGGCTAGTGTCTCTCCATCCTCTGTCCTGACAACTCTCTCACTGCTCACATCTGCCTGCAAACAAAGGGAAATAGTTACCACAGCTGGAGACTTCCCAGCCAGCCTTGCCCCAGAAACACTACTTTAGGATCCATATGAGGAACCCAAGGACTCAGATTGCCATCTACCGGCTGCAGCTGGCACTGAGACATCCAACAGGAATTTCAGAGCTTTTTAAGGGCTTGCCATGTTCCCCTAGGAACTTCCAGTCCCAGGCAAACACCCGCATGTCTTCCGGGGGGGGATATGGGCAAGCGCTCTGAGCACAGCAGTGGGAGCTAGAGGCTCAGGAATTATGTTGCGAGCTCATCCGCTGACTCTTTCTGTAGCATTAGACATATCCCATGTTCTCCAACATAGGGATAATGACACTGCCTTGCACAGAGCTAGGGGATAGTTAGCTTGGGAAGATGAAGAGCATTATACAAGTGTGCTAACTGATCCAGTTCGAGTATTGACAGAATTGTAAATGGCCCAAGGATCTGGGTTTGGGGCAAGAAGGCACATCCAGTGCCAGCTCTTGAAACAGTGGACCCCAAAGTCTGGCCCCAGTGACATTGCCTCCTATCTCCACACTGTGGAATGGCTGAGTCGCACCTAATACCAGGATTTCAGGAGAAAACTATGAGGACCCTTCAAAGGAGAAGTTGGTGATGCTGGAAAGCACAGAAGCTTGGACAATATCCCGCAGGGTTGGAGCCAATTATACATCATCAGCAAGTGAAGGCCTTGTTCTTCCCAGTAGAAAAGAGGGCAGGCAAACCCTCCATTAGAAAGTGCTAGTGGACAGAGAAGGAGGCACTGGGAACTCCATCCACATGTCCGATCCAAAAGCCCACAATTTGGGACATTGTTGTCTTGTATGAGGAAGAAATGGTGCAAAAAACAGAGGAAAGAAGCTGTCCTCTGAGCAAGCTCTCAGTAACCCGACAGGAAGCAACACGTACCTTATTGCCTAACAACATAATGACCACATCCTTTTGGGCATATTCATGTATCTCTGAGAGCCAGGCCTGCAAGAGAGGAAGAGGTCACATGGTGTCCAAGATGAGCAGCACAGATAAGAAGGTTTTTGTGCAACAGCAAGTGCATGGAAGAGGAGGTGGAGGAGGACAAAACTGCCAAGAAATCATCACTTGCTGGCAAAAAAACTGCATCTGGTCAAAATTTCCCAACCCCACCCTAGCCACCAGGCACCTTTGTAATGAGTTGTCCTTGAATGAACACCCTGTGGAGTCTGCTGCTCTGGACTTTTAGGTTTCCAAGTTTGCCATGCAGCATGGGAGAGAGGCAGCCATACCTTTGTGACCTGGTTTCAGCATGGTGCCAGCTACCAGTATGGATGTGGTCCATTTCCTCCAGACCCTTGTGACTCAACGGCACATTTCACCTCCATTCAGTGCAGTTGCATTACCATTGTAATGGGTGGCGACTAGATAATAACCTACTGCTGCTACTAGCCAGCAGAATTTCTCTGTCAGCTCAGGTGGAAGAGATTCAGTGTTGAAGGACTTAAGGTTGGTCCTAACTGTCAACTCCTGAGAAGAACACCTCAGTGATTTCAATAGGAGTTTTAATGAGCTTGGCTTTCTGTATGATTGGTTCCAGTATTTTAAGATCTGGACTCAAAGCATGCCTATTTTCTCAGGCCCCTTTGACTAAGGGAAAGCTCATGCATTGTACCTTCATGCAGAAGCAACTGGCCAGGTAGGGAAGTGATGACTTGGTGTAGCCAAGTGCTAAGCACTAGGGTGGCTCCCAGTTCTCACATATGGCCAAGGATAGTGGAGACTCATGCTGGACACTGTCTCAGCCCTAGGATTCAGGTTAAAGGATCACCCCGTCACAAAAGACGGGCAGTGAGAGGGAAGGGCAGTACAAAGGCAGACAGTCATCCAGGGCCCATGACACTGTAGAACTGTGCCAAAATAGACCTTTCCAGTTCTCGATCTAAACCAGGAAAAACTGGTTCCAGTTGAATAAAAATGGCCATTTTTCAGGGCAGGGCTTACATTTTTTTGGTGAAAAAAAAAGTTTTCATTTTGAGCTAGCTCAGACTAAGACAGTTAATTTAGTTTTCACATGACTGAATCTTTCATCCCCTTCCCTTTATGACATTTAGGGCCATTTCAAAATGAAAAGTCACTACGCTGACTTCTTTTTAACACCCACCCCTCCTCTCCAGCTGCAGATGAAACCACTCACCAAATTTCACCCCAGTTCTGGTCCCCGTAAAGCTAATTTTTTTTAAATGAATTTAGTGTTTGCCAACAATGTTGCCCAGCCCTACCCTAGCATGGCTGTTCTGGGGAAGGAGTTGCTTGGTTTGACGGCTGTCAAAGGAGTTGACATGTTGAGATGTCACATGTTTAGAACCAACAGGTTCTCTCTTTGGGTCTTAGAGTCTGTCCATCCAGTAGCCAGAAAGTGGCCTGGATGAGGGGGAGGACAACCAGGGAGTGAAGGTCTATTATGAACCCTCTTTGGGAGTTTCCAGGCTGAGCAGTTATACCCCTGAGGCTGCTGGTCAATGGATACTCACTCGAATATTGTCAAAGGACATTTTGCTGGTGATGTCATACAGGAGAAGCAAGGCTGGAAGGAAAACGAGGGAAACAAAGTGCGTGGTTTAATAACTATTTTGCTCCTAGGCATTACTTGCAAAAGCAGCTCCACTAAACCTGTGGATTCCAGTTCCCATCTGACCCCAAATGGGTAACACGAATCCACCCAAAGACCTACCCTGAGCATCTCTGTAGTAGGCGTGGGTCACGCTACGGAATCGCTCCTGCCCTGCTGTGTCCCAGATCTGCAAAGAAATAGCCCCTGTGAAAAACTAGGGGAGAAACCTCACTGCAGCCCATTTCATCTCCAGCTTCCAAATCCTGGCAGTGTGCCAGCATTAGAGAACAAGAGAAGGCAAGAAACTTGAGTCAGTGCAAGCGGGCCACTGTCAGTCCCTTCTGCCCTCAGTGTGCTAGGGTGTTTCCAAGCTATAATCAATGGCATTTGGAGGTCTGGACTGAAAGGATTTGAGGCCACAGCAAGATGATGGCTGTGAGTTCCTGGGGGCATGTGAGGCAAATGCTGGAAGCACAATGCTAAGAAGGGCTGTAGTGAAGCACAATACACTGCACAATTCTCTGCATACACTGCACCCTGAGGGGATGGAGCATCTTGCAGTACAGGGCACTGATACGCTGTCACAGGGGAATTTCTCAGCATGCCCAATGCTCCAGCCTCCTGGGGTATGGCCCATGTAGCGCGGGTATGCTGTGCTCTATTGCAGTGCTCCCTAGCACAGTCCTTTCATTCTGCAGACCCCCCATAGTCTTCCCCAGGGATGTTCCCTTCCTTCCTACCAGGACCTTAGCAAAGAGAGATGCATGGAAAAAAAAAGATAAAGGCCACTTACTGGCCTCCTGGTTGTCTAGACACTCAGTGCCAGGGGTTGAACTCTGCAGCATGACCATCAATTCCCCACCAACTCCCTGACTCACCTGCAATTTCACCTTCACGTCGTCTACTGTCACCACTTTGTTCTGTAAGAGAAAAGAAAGTCGTGATGAGTAAGGGATAAGCTGGCTGTGCTCCCTTGTGGGTTGTAGCATCCCCATGGATCACCTTGACTCCTACTACTCCAGTCCGCTGGTTCTGGAGGGTGTGAATGCTGGAATCAGAGCCTACAGACCAAGCGGAGGAGACATAAGCAGACCTTGCCTGAGTCTGTCTCTAAAGCAGCAGCAGGAAAAGTCAAGGCCTTCTACTCAAGGGTTCCTATACCTTATGAGATTCCAGGGAAACTCATCTGCCTGGTGGTCAGGCAGATGGCACTTGGCTTGGCCTTCCCTCCGGGAGGCATGTCACCTGAACTGGTGTTTTCCAGGTAGGGAAACATCCAGCTGGAGAGATTAGGAGCTTCTGCTGGTGCTGATATTCAGATATTACAGTCACGAGCACCTGGCAGATCCTATAGGTTAGGCACATTGGTCACAGAAGCAGAGACTGACATGCAGAAAAAAAGCTTTAACCCTCCCACCCTCCCCCATAACATGTATTGTTACATGTCTTCTTAACCCCCATTCAGAGCTCCAGGACTGAGATTAAAAAAGCAGTAATGGGTGTTTATTAGCAGTATCCCCACAGCTTGCCCTCACCCTGGGGAAGCAATCCCCCAAGCTGTGATGTGCTTCTTTCTTGAGGGATCTGATGCTCAGCCTGTCACAGAAACACCCAGTTCCACAACCCAGGTGGTTTCATGGCCCAGACACATTTCTGGGCTGCTGTGACAGCTAAAGCTGAGCAGCATATAAGGCCAAGACTGGGGACTGACTCTGCCTCTCCATCTGCATATGCTGGACACATCGTCGCAAGTGCAATAAGGCTCCTTCTCCAATTTAGCAGGGAGCTGCAACAGGGATGGGCAATGCAAAGACAGGACAAAGTCACTGACAACAAGAAAGCACCTTTACTCCACACAGATACAGACCACAGCACCAGAAGGACATCCCCCATGGTACTCTACTAAACCCAGAGCCCCAGAACAGACAACCCTGCATGAGAAGTAGTTACACCCCCACATCTGCATTGCAGCTGGGGCTGGGTGAAGCAACTTGGACAAATTAAACAAATGGACCGTTGCCCAAAGCTTGAGCTGAAGCTCATTTGAGAGAGCATGGGCCATCGGACATTTCTGGTTCATTTCTTTGCCTTTCAAACCCCCAGCATATCTCACGAGTACAGGCTGCTACTGACCCAAACGGACCATCGTTTTGTTCCATCTCTGGACAGCAGGGTGCAAAGAGGCTCTGGCAATACAAATATAGCCATCTCCTTAGGAGCAATTCTTGGTTAAAGTCCAGCTCAATCCTGTTGGCTTAAAAAGTTCAGATGATGAGAGAATAAAGCCCCAAGCTTTGGGTTTTTTTGGTTCAAACCTCTACAGTTCCTCAGGCTCTCTCCTCATTCCTGTATGCCTACCCAAGCCTCATACAATGTATTTTTGAGGGACATATTTTCCAGTGTAAGAACAGATTGTGAACCCAGTGGACCTCAATTCAAAGGACTAGGTCCCAGCTTACACCAGTGTAACAGGATCAGGCCCCAAACACAAGAAGGCTGTAAATATATGATGGGGAGAAGGGAACCCACTCATCCCAGGACAGCAAGAACTGAGCCCAATTTGGTTCCATCTTGTGGTGCCCTTAGTCTAATGCATTTTCAGCATCTATATTCCCTAGGCAGGGTGCCCTGGGAATACTCTAGGTAAGAGAGACAGGTGCTTTCCACAGGTGCAGCAGGGCCACTGGTTCGAGGACCTCCTGCATTT